ACCTCACTTAGGGTCACTGTGAGAAGGGATGGGCTGTGGGAGCAGGGTGGGCTACCAGGAGGTGCTGGTGAATGATGAAGCAGCTGGAGAGAAAACGAGAACCTCTGCAGACATGAATAAATAAATAGTGGCAAACCAAAGGCATTGACCTCAGGAATAATGCCACGGCTCCAGAGCTGCTCAGAAGCAGGGCAAGCCATTCCTAATGCCAGATGCACTCAGTGTAGGATGTCCATTTTTTTTTCTCCAGTTTCATCCAAAAAGCTGTAACGTGAAATGCAGTGCTATCCAGAGGCACCGAACCCCAGATCTGAAGGAATTCCCAGGGTGCATTAACCAGGGCTTGGGCTGCCAGCTATGCTATACAATACAGGATATTCTGTATTACATGGTTAATTTTTGCTTTCCAAATGAAAAGCACATGGTAATAGGTTTTCTTTTGTGTCTTTTTTTTTTTTTTTTTTTTCCAGCAACTATATGTTTTCCTGGATTTTTAACAAGCTGGACTGTAAGATCTAGAAAGGTATCCACCTCTCACATTCAGCTATACTGTGTGCACACAGCTGGTCTGAGCCAGGTACATCAGACTTCCTGGTCCACTAGAATTTCCCATTAGAATTAGAAATTCTACTGCATTTCTCATTATATCAACTGGATCAGATAAAGGCAATGCTCATTCTCTTTGTGGTGTAGCTTCTCTGTACATCCACTGTTCAATAGCCTGGGACCACGCACACCTCCAATCAACACTTTACCCAGGGCGTCTATTCTTAATATGTCTCTGAAGAAAATTTTAGATGGAATTTTTAACCTACATTCTTTTTTTGCAGAGCCTTTAAATAAGGCTGCTTATAAGTAAATTCATTGCCGATCTGCTCTTTTTCCTCTTTTGAATCTTTTTCTCAGAATATGCTTTCAGCCATTAAAGTGTCCAATTCAAAGAAAATGGGCCCAGATAAGAGAATTACTCATAGTCCACCTAAAAATAAAAAAGAAAAAATGGAAAACCGAGCTAGTGAACTACACAGATTTTTGTTTCACCTTGAAGAATAAAAAAGGCTCTAATTCAGAAAAAAAAAGCTTTATTTCCGTTTTTTCATTTATGCAAATTATGCCCTGAATAAATAAATCTACATAATCTTGCCTCCCTGCTAGACAACTTGCAGTAACATTTGCCAGGAGAAAGACAGGCTTTTTTTGATACTAATGCATAAAACATGCTGAATAAAAAAAAAAAAAAAAATTAAAACAAATCATATTGAGTAAATAGCTGCTGTGCAGCTCTGGAAAGAATAATAGAGGGACTGATGAGTTACTCAGGATTGTCTTGTTCAATTATTTCAAACATGCTACCAGTTAAAGATATATTTAAGTTAAGGTTTTACAAGCAGAGCTGTATCCTGAACCATTGCCATCCGTGGGGATTTTTCCCTTTAATTTCCGTGGAACTGGAGTTCAGGCCTCCTTGCTGAAGCACCCAGGAATGTGAGGCTGTTGGTCCTGGAAGACCCATTGATTCAGCACATAGCTGAGTTACTGTGTAAGGGCTGCAGCCGGGGGACAGCAGCTCTCATATTCTGTTTCGGGAACGTAGAGGCTGCCTTCCTCAACTCGYGAGGAAAAGATCCTAGTCCCTTGTGTCCTCAGTAGATAGGAAATATAGTGCTGGTGACTGTCTAGATTGCCAGTATCCCTGGGACTGCAACAGGGGAAGGATAAAGCAAAAATCATTGTAGATGTGCATGAGAAGGTATTTTGCCAACCTTTTCCCACTTTGACTGCACATGGTAGATGCTGGAGGACAACACTTTCTCTTGATGTCCACCTACAAACCATCAAACTCCAACTGTATCTGGGCTTTGAGTATTCTCCTGCAACCTTTTAAATACCCTTTCACACTATTCTGGACTGCTGAGTCCTTATATTTCTTCCTATAACAAATAAAGTGACAGCAGCGTGGCTAGGTCCACCACCAGACTTGCATATTATAAGATGCATCACCTGGCTTTTGGATGCTGTGTTGTTCTGTGSAATTCAAAGAAGTCTCTTCCTAGGGGAGAAATATGCAAAATTTCCTTACAGGCTGCCTGGGGACAGTAAGCCCCAGGGATATACAAGACCTGAATAGAAAGATACTTAGAAGTGCCTTTAAGAAATGTTAAGAAAACGTGATTTCAGACCCTATCTCTGCTAAGAACCTACAGTCACAAGACTGGCAATAAAGCTAGTGTTTTCTARCAACGGTTTGTGGGAGGATGTGTTCTTTCCGTTTTTTTACCACATAATCTGCTGATTAAGAGCATAGACATGGGGCATGGGATGTTGCCCACATGAACCAGGTCCCAGGAGAAAGTCTATTTAGTCTTTTGTCGTTACTGAGTTAATACCAAAGACTGGGTAATATCTTCCGTCTAAATCTCTTCTACCTTGGCTAAAGATAAAGGAACATATTATGGGAGACAGAAAAATACTGTCCCCCATGTAAGCAGCAAACATCCCAGTGGTGGTGACACTTGGTTTTGACACAAGGTCACATTCTGTCAAATCAGACATKGTGAAGATGTGAACGGCACTGGGTTGCTCTGCCATAGATGCCCTGTTCACGAGGCACCTTTCCTTGCAAGGCAGCACTGCAGCTGAGGTCCTTCAGCCAGCCCAGGATGGAGGTACCTCAGTAGGAGAAACACAGTGAGGCAGATACCTATGCCCTTGGACACCCTACTAGCAAAGATTTAAAGAGCTTGGGGAATTGCAGGGATCCATTCTTTCATCTGGAAGAAAGACTAGGAAAGGTAATGTAAATTCCAGGCTTCAAAAACCCATGGCATTGGCTTTAGCTGGATTTCAGGTTTTTTATTTTTTAAACCCATTATTTTAAAGCAACATAACAAGTTAAATAGAGACATCTGAAATTCTTTTTGTTCATATTTTCAAGCTCTTGTTTTCAATTACTTGGGCTAGAAACTTATTTTATCCTTTTTAAACAAGAGCTAAGCTCTTCATTTAATCACAGAACTCCAGAAACCACAGCTTTAAAAGAATCTTGAGATTTATAATAAAAGCAAGAGAGTTTGACAATATAGACTTCTGCGACCACATACGATTGATTTTGGCTTACTGATGATATGGGAATATCCAGCTCCACAGATGGGAAAGGCAAAGGAGAATCTACTGCCCAGATCTGAGACAGACTGTGGTCAGTCCCTATATAAATAAGACACTGTTCCWGGAGTCCTTGATTTTTCTCCTTTCCCTATGCAGCGGCTGGCCACATCCCCTAGGGAAGGACAGATTCTCCCCTCTGCTGTCATTGCAAGACCTCAAAGGAAAGGGCTGCTCTGTCTTTTCCCCATTCCAGATATGTAGGTGCAGGCACCAAAAAAAGAGTTTGGAAGGTCTTCATCCATTACRTCTCCAAAGTCACAATCCTTCTTAAGTAACCTACATGCAGTTCAGCATCTTGATAATCCTCAATGTGCTGCAAAATTCATACTTTAGTTCTGGGTAATGTGAAAACAAAAGGGCTTGATTTTKGGCCTCAGCAACAGAACAATCACAGATATTTGCTAGCTTTCCATACTACAGACTTCTCTCCATTTTATGATTTTATCTTCCACTCTCTGAGTAGGGCAGGATATCTCTTATTCCAAAATGCCTGCCTTTATAAAAAAATCCCAGTAGATTTATGACTAGAATCCACATAAGGATTTATCAAGATGGAGTTTTCATAATTTTTGAAATCATCAGTGTCAGTCRGCCCTTCCATCCCATAAAAGTAAAATGTGACCATTCAATTAGACCTTTCATCTGGCAGAAAGACTCATTTCCCACCGTGGCCACATGCCAGAGCCTGCTTGCAGAAGGCTGAACCTGAGCCCCACATAAATGCCCACACCAGTTTTTTGGTTCATTGTTTGCCTGACTTTAAATTTAGGAYGCAGTCTGAGCAGCTTGTTGTCTTGTGGATCAAACTATGATGGTGGAAACCCTCTACCCAACTGGCCTGGCGAGTTGGAACCACCACAGACRCCCGCCGGCTCCGGGCTGCTCGTCCCAGATCCGCAGCAGGATCCAGGATCCAGAACTAGGCCCAATCAATATCCTCCAGAATAGTTTGTACTTCAAAAATAGAAATATTGCATTTCTGTTTTTCATGTAACAGTCCTGACCATTGGTTTTAATCTCCCCCTCAAGCTGCTTGCTTGTTTCTCTTGACAAACATGGAATTTAAAGGATAGTAATTAGATTCAGGGTTTGAAAGAATATATTAAAATGCCAGAGGAGGAAAACAAAAAAAAAAAGATGATAGATTGAAAGCACAGAAGGCTGCTACTTGATAAGTTTTGCCTGAAAATAAATCAATAATGAAAGAACATAAAGAAAACATATGTGGTCAGTATAGGAGGTGGCATRTCTAGCTTCATCTAATACTGCAGTAGACAGATTTATTTTGCCCAGTATTGAAAATGCATCCAACGCTTTTCACACAAGATTTCCTTCTTGTTTTCCCCCCTTTCCCGCAGCCGCAGTCGTCGCCTCCGTCAGCTTCCAGGGAATCCAGGCTCACTCCAAGGTGGTAAATCCCATCCGCTGCCATGGGGAGGGAGCTCACCAGACCCACGCCATAGGGCCCCACATAATTCACCTATAGGAAGCAAGAGAGACACAGATACACGTGTAACATGCCATTATACATGTAAATGCATATACATATCTTTATATATTAAATATAGAGATATATAGAGAGAGAATATATAGAAAATATATGGTATTAGAGTATCTTATATATATATATATATATATAAAGAAGAAAAGGCAGATATATTTAATACAGGCCTGTTTTATATATCTATGCCATTAATAGCGAGACCCCAGCCCAGCCTGCAGGATGGGGCGGGGCCTACGACGTGGGGGCGGGGCCTGCGCCGTGGGGGCGGGGCCTGCGCCGTGGGGGCGGGGCCCGCGCTGGGCCGGCGGCCGGCGGCGCGCGCATGCGCCGTGCGTGGCGGCGCGCATCCCGTGAGGCTCCGCGGGGCAGCGGGGACGCGGCGGCGGGCCGAGCATGTCGGAGAAGAAGCAGCCCGTGGACCTGGGGCTCCTGGAGGAGGACGACGAGTTCGAGGAGTTCCCGGCCGAAGGTAGCGCCGCGAGGAGCCGCGCGCCGAGGCGCGGGGTGCTGCCCGCCGTGCGCCGGGCCGGGCCGGGCCGGGCCGCCGCGCTGCTGCGTCATGGCGCCGTGGAGGCCGCGGCCGGGCAGCGTCCCGAGCGGCGCCCGGGCAGGCCCCGGCTCCCCCCGGCCCTTCGCTGTGTGTGTCTGTCTGTGTGTCTGTCTGTGTGTCTGTCTGTGTGTCTGTCTGTGTGTCTTGTGTGTGTGTGGGGGGGGGGGCCGCGAATCCCGCCCTGCCCGCGAAAACGGTGTTTGTACGTCCCTGCTCCCCCGTGGCTGAGGAGGTTATTGAAATAGCTAAGCTGACAGCTACATCAAATTGGAATTACGTTTTGTTTTTTTTCTTTTGTGGGGAGGGGGTGAGTGGAGGGGGTATCTCCGTGTGCCTGTTCTGAAATGGTGCTTCTCCTGTACAATGCACTTCAAGCGTTGGCCGTGGGCAGTAAGGAGACCCCAGAAATGAGCGTGCTGTTGGAGCTCTGCTCAGCTGGGACACTGGGTTCCTGGTACAGAAGTTGCCCACAAAGTGGGAATATTTCTCAATTTGGTTTTTTTTTTTTTTTTTTTTTTTTTTTTTTTTTTGTAATTTGAGTTTTGGTGTTAAGCTCAGCTAATATTGACATTTTGTTTTTCCCAAGTCTGTATTTTTTGCATTGCCAACAGAGACAACTTTTGTTGTGTTTTTACCTTCATTCCTCTGCTACTACCATGAAAAAGAAGTTCTTTTCTTAGTTGGCCGAAGCTAGAAATATCAACGATAATGATTAATACCTTCAGAAACTGGAAGAACTAGTTACTGAAATCTTCTTAAATATAAACCAGCGAGAACTTCTCATGCTCAAAATGCATCAATATACTTGCTAACCAAGCAAAATGAAGTTAGTTTGAAGCTTATCTGTACTACTAAAGCCAAACATCTCAAGTTGAGATACTCAGCATTCTCTGAGAAGAACAAGTCTTATTAAGTAGTGACCACAATCAAATTTTATTGATGGATTTTTCCAAAGACTAAGAGCTGCTGAGGAGGCCTCATTGGAACTTTCCAGTGAGATAACAGGGTTGAGAGGTTGTAAAGGATTTTCAGGACACCTTCAATGTTTTCYCTCTCTGTTTTAGGAAAGAATCATAATATTTGATCAAACCCTGATTACATATCTGTTCTTCACATCAAAACGCAATCCTTCTGTGCAGGAAAAAAAAACTTTGCATTCTGTTACACAGTTAGTCATATCCAAAGGAAATTAGATAATACAGACTTATGCTAAGGATAAAAATACTGGGTTTTGGGGAAGCATTCCTACTTAAGCTTGATTTGATAAACTGTTTCAAGAAAACTTCTGAGGATCTAAAGCAGATGTGTACTGTTTTTATGGCATATTTTATTTGAAATGCAGCAGGACAGATTCAAGTATATGTGAATTGGTCACTTAAGAACTTCTTATACAGTTTTTTGGCATGTAAAATGATTGAATTTCAGTTTTTTAATCTGATTTAGAAAGAGGTTTTTTTTTTTCCAACAGCAAAATAGAGCTGATCAGTATACTAAAATACACTTTTTCTTTTTTTCCCCTTTAGTAGACCAAACTGTGGCAAGTTTTTATGAAAAATGATTTTGTAATTTTGGTTTGCAGCCATAATTCTTAATGGTAGCAGTCTGTAAAATATTTTTGATAGTCTCAGTGAGAGATAATGCCTAGAGTAATAACTTCAGTATAAAATTCTGGTGTATAGTGTGATGTTCAGTTAGGGTAGAGTCACGCAGCTCTGGCTGTGAGAACATAATCAGGGTTTACTCTCACTCATTTCTCTGTCCTTGTCCTCCCACAAGTAGAAAATGACTTTGGCCCGTTTGACTTTTCTTCACTCGGTGATATTTGGAGCGTATTTCAGCAGTCTCTTCAGAGGATCTTTCTGACTGAAGCTGCTGTGTCTGTTGTGCTGAACGTTAGCCCTTACAGTCGTTGGGAGTTTTTGAGTCTGTTTGACCTGTTTTTGAAGTTTGATGTTATGTTCATTTTAAACCATTTTGAGCTTTGATTTCAGTATCTTTGAAGCTCGATAAACAGCATAAGCAATAAGGCTTGCTTTCTTTGGAAAACAAGTATATTGTGTAAATAACAAAGCTTGTTGAAGGTGGTACTAAAATAAAATCCTTCCAATCAAACAACTAACAGTAACTAAATTCAGGTAATTMTTTTCTTTCTGTACTGCATATTTTTCTCTTAAAATGTACTCTTTGGTCCTTTCCTTTGCTCACCCTAGAACYGTTAGGATTTACATACTCCTTCAGTTCTTCCCTTTATATAACAAAATATGCATATTCATTTGAGGAGGGAATTTTAATCTTACTGCCTTCTGTATCTGTGTCTTTAATCAGCTGCACATGGATTTTTCTGTTCTGGGAAATCACAAATACTGGTGCTGTTGCCTGCCAKTGTTAGAAGAGAGCCAGAAAATAACTGAAGGACCAAACCCTGTTTCTTACAATGAAAACTGTTTGCAATGAACTTGATTTTAATCTTTTATTCTTTCATTTTTTCCCCTCCATAGTTCTGTCTGTTTTATGTTACTTTGGGYGCTCTCTGAATGGACAGCAGATGACTTACTGAATTTACAAGTGTTTAGAAACAGGGAAGGAATAATGTAATCTCCTTAAATATACTGCTCCTTAAATAGACTCCTAGTAGTCTAACAGATATGAAGCATAGGGTTACAGTTGTCAATTATCTTTTCTGTCATGAGATCTTTTAGTGTTGGTTTAAAAGCTGGCCTTGTTTTTTGCTTCTTTTACATTCAAAGCGTTACGTGAATTCTCAAGTTTAAGGCCTGCTGGTATTTTGGTGTCGTGATACTGGAACGAAAGCAGAATATTGAGGAAATGGGGAGAAGAACATTAGAAAAACTTGTGTCTCTCACTTAAAGAGATTATTTATTTATTTATTTATTTATTTATTTATGCAAAGGACATTTAATGTCTTTCTTGTGTAAGGAAACAGCTGCTACTGCATTAGGAACCCCGAAGCAGGCGTTACTGATAGCAACTGCTCTTTCCAAATACCTCACAAATGTTATTGTATCGCAAATGTTTTGGGCACTTGTCTATGGACTGTCAGTGTTTGATTTAAGTSGACTGAAGATATTTGTGTGTTTTGGTAAAAACATTTGGTATAAGATTTCCTTTTTCAGTTAAAAATAGAAGCTGTTGAAATTGCACTCTGTTTTTTGAGCTTTCAGGATGCAGCTACTCAAGATTGTCTTTTTTTAAATGCTACTACATCTTGTCCCTTTGGATACAAAATCATTTTTTCTCATAAATGTGTGATTTTTTGCAGACCATAACATGAGGTGGATAGTGATTTTTAYCAAATTGGACTTTTATTATAATTCAAGAAATTGTGATGTGGGTTCTCATTTTTTGTGCTTTTTTTTTTGTCCCCTGCTATGTGTTTGGGTCCTGCAAATACTTAGGCATAATCAAAACTTTTCTGCAAAAGAGAATTTTTTTTTTTAACCCTGAGGCTAAACAAATCTGTCAATATGACCTGGTATCAAAGCAATAGWCTTTTTTTGTTTTCTTGTCTTTAGATTGGACGGGTTTAGATGAAGACGAAGATGCACATGTCTGGGAAGACAATTGGGATGACGACAATGTAGAGGATGATTTCTCCAATCAGTTAAGGTAATTTTYTTTTTTTATCATTAGCTTGCTAATTTAGAAATAGAGCAAAATGGTTTGAAAAGTGTTGTTTGGAAGGTTATACATGAAAGTTTGAAATCTCATTTTTAAAATCCAAGAGCTCTGAAACAGATTAGCTCAAAGTAAAGCTTTTCTATCTAAAATCTCTCAGAACTTGATGTATGAGATTACGACACAATTGTAAGCACTGGTCAGCATTTACTGTTTTATAACTGTGCTAAGAGCACTGAGGTAACTGTCACCTCACTAGCATATTTTGAGTTTTTCACCTTAAGTCTGTACAACCATGTAAGCAAATTGTGTCAAAGTTGATGCTTATTCGGTTTAGTCAAATGAGTTCATTTCTAAGTAGCCTGTGTGAATGGTTCAGAGCCAATTCTGAAAAGTTTTAATGGCAGGAGATCCAAAATTATCTACGATACGGTATGTAAAATGTGTTAGTGTAAATTATCTTTCTTATACCTTCAAACATCATTGCTGTTCTTGATCCAAGTACATAAGTGAACTCTGGAAAATTTGGCCAAATTAATGTTAAAGTTTCCATCTTCTGTGCAGTGAGCATGTCGTTTATGAGACACAGTAGCAAAATAACTGTTCATAACATGCTTTAAAATTTGGGTAGCTCTAATCCARCTATTTAGTCTTCTCTGTCACTTGTAGTTTCCATTCATCCTTTACTGATTCCAAATTATAGCTTAAGATGTTTCAGGCATCAATACAGATTTTCAAATTCTCGTTTTATAATTAATCAATTTGTATGTTGCTTGCAAAACAAACTCTGTAGCACAGCCTGTTTAGCAGTCCCTGGGCTGACCTGACATGTGGGACTTGGAGGAAAGTGACCCTTGAGTAGCAGACTGGAAAACCAAGTCTGTTGATGTTGTTGTTTGTTGTCAGATTGAAAAGCAGTTGAATTAGTAGGCTGAATTGTGATATTGAAAATGATCCTTATGCACAAGGAAATAGGAGCTTAGAAAGTACAGTATGATTCTTGATCGACGTAGTCACTCTTGGAAAGCTTTTGATAAAAGTTTCTTAATTTCAGTTTGTAGTGCTGGTGTCCATGTACTGGCACTAATATGAAAGATTGCAGTGTTCCTATTCTGCAGCCTGGTTGTATTTCATCTTGCTTCTGGAAACTAAAGTTTTGCTGTTTTGTAGACAAAAGTTTGTTCTTGCTTCTTAACCGAGTCAAAAGAAACTTTTCTATCATGAGGCAATTTAGTAGTCTGTCTTTGAAATTCATATTACGGTAATCTATGGCAGTAAGAGAAAGAAAATGCTGCTGCCATCTTCCATTTTAAAATTCCAGCACTAAGTTTTTCAGCTAACCTGGAATATTTTTAGAGATTTGGATTATTTTTCAGTGATATCTAGATACCATCAGCTATGACTAGGAGATAGAGCAGGGTGTAGTTCTGGCTGGTCTGGAGAAGCCAAAATGGGGACACACCAGGTTAACTTTTGCAGTCACACATGTGCTCTCCTGGACAAAGCACCTCAAAGCATCCTGTTCCCTTGAAGTTGTTTTGCTGGAAAATGGAGCTCAGCAAGATGTACRTGCATTTAAATACCTCAAACATGGGAAGTTCTTTGTGTTTAAGGAAACTCGGAATAACCAGCAGAAAAGCAGMAAGTGTATGAATATTTTGCTTAGACTTCTAGTCATCTAAGACTGACCAAACTGAAGAACTGCAAATCAAGTGAGGCTAAAGTTATTGAAATTAATCAAAAGGCACTGTTACCTCTTGTGTCTCAAATGATTGGGTGTTATGCAGTGTATTGTATTTTTAAAGCTACAAATATCTGATAATATTGTGTTTCAATATGCTTTATCTTTTTTATACAGAGCTGAACTAGAAAAACATGGATACAAGATGGAAACCTCATAGTTTTTGCTGAATATGGAATAGTTTAACATTGAACTGTGGATAGACTATATTGAGAAGAAGAAAAAATGGGAAACGAGAAGAAGCATTTAGTTCATTATCTGCTTGGATTTATTATTGTTTTGTATGAAAAATAAAGTTTTTAATCTTCGCCTAGTTGTATGTGCAACCTCTGCTAAATTGATAACTGTTTTGATTCCAGAATGCTGTGACAATTCATCATCTTGCCCATGATGCTACCAATGATCTATAAGCAGCTGCTGCTGCTGCTGCACTGAAGTCATGGGGAACCAAATGAAAGTTATCAGAATGAAACCCTTGAGCTCCTTCTTTTGTTGGGCAGGTGGAGATGTCAAAAGAAATAAAACACTAATGTATTCCARTTAAAATACAACAGCAGTAAAAGAAAATGGTTTTGGTGACAGAGTAAAGCTTATTTTGCTTCATGACTTAATTTTCATTAGTAATTGTGTGTGGGTGCCGGTTTGATAGCGTTGAAAAATAAAGCCCAGTGTAAAATGCATTTTACAAGAGCAGAAACCCGCCTTCTCCAATCTTGCCCTGTCATTTCTCAAGCCTGTTAAAGAAGAGACCTCTGTGGAGGCGAGAAGAAAGTTCTGTGCTCATGCTTATTTAATCCCAGGCTTCTCGGCTGAAATTGCCTCCAATTTGCCAGTTATAGCAGCTCATCTGTAGCGCGCAAACATGCCTGCTGAGAACGGAAATCAAACTTCCAACTCATTTCATGGAGGCCAACAAATAGTTGCCAGAAAAATGCAACGGTGATGACTGGATTCGATTACTATCTGAACTAGGAAASAGAAGGTGGAAATTACCAAGCCCATTACCGATTCCATGAATTCTCTCCAAAGGAGCCGGTACAGCCGCTGTTCCCAAAGGCGCAGGGCCATGGCTGGCCAGGGAATGTAGGCCATGATTGCAAGTAAAAAAAAATACTGATTTGCTTCCTTTATAAAGGGGCAAGTATAGGTATGAACTCATGTGACATGCATTAGCAATGTGATCTGTCAGGTGGCTCGCTGAAAAACTTGACAGCCTTCTGCTGAATGAGAGTTATCAGAATAAAGGTGTTAGGTGATGGAAATGCAGTGTTATACAGCATTAAATGCTTTCCTTATCGTGTTAAATAAACGACCGAATAWGTTACGTTTTAATTGCATGTATAAATGCAAAGTTCTGGGAAAGTGATTCCCCTCTCCAAAGTTGCTTATGTGACCTGTTCTTGCACAGTGGAGGCAAAASTGGCTGAGGCCCATGCAGAGCTTACAGAGGTGGCTCTGTAAGGCTGAGGCCTGTCTTTGCCATCTAAATGGCTCTGCAGAGCTAAATATTTTTGAGAGAATTAGTTTATCCTCTCCTACACGGTGTGGGAAAAGGCAGTGTTTTGAGGAGACTCACCCCATAAGTGACGCRGGGAGCCTGGGCGCCCCACTTCTGCAGTTTGGATAAGGGCCGGAGCAGAGGCCTGCGCGCTGGGCAGCGACCGGTGGCGCACGCGGCCTTGAGTCGCGCTTGGGAGCTGGGGTGGCTGCTGTTACTGCTACCTTGCTGTGGGGAGACTGAGTGAGGCTGGTTAGAATAAGACAATAGGAGAGTTACGGAAAGGTCTGGAGTGAACTTTGGATATTGGCAACTGGATTTCTGAAACAACAGCAGAAGCAGCCCTGACACAGGTTGGAAGCAGCAGCCCTTCAGGAGCAGCAGGAGGAAGGCACTGTGGCAGAAAGGCACCTTTGCCTCCAGAAAATTGGCCTAGGTTTTGCTGAGCCACGGCTACCGTTTGGTATTGTGTTCTGCCTTTATCACAAAAATGTGCAAAAGGTTAGGAAAAATTAGAAGTGCCCCCCTGCCCTGAGCTAGAAATGAGGAGAAMTGGGCTGAGATAATCAGGGTCCTGCACCCGTGCAGCATTTCAGTTATAACTTCCATCTGCTCACATGGTATCTGAACCCCCAAGCTCAAAGGGTTTCAGTGTTCTACAAGGAGGCTCATAGAGGATGTCACTGCGGAAATTAGCCCAAATTTACCTGTTTTACAACTTAAATCTTCCCGTGTGCTTGGAGACTTGAGCTGTTGAGAGCATTCGTGCTGGGAGACGTTTTCTGGGTAGTTCTTGGTGGTGTTTCAATGATGCCTGCTGAGCTGAGTCAACTCATGGGAAAGCGCCCAAAATGTGCGGGGTTGCCAATGAGCTTAGCTTTCTCGGTGGGCTTTACCATGGTCCTTAAAGTAGGCATGCTGGAGAAGTGCCAAGTTAGACAAACACAAAAATCATGAGCAGTAATGTTATGTGGAAACCTTCAATTCCGCTCCTTTGTCTCCTCACAACCCCGCTGCTGTTACTCCATAGGGTCCCCACCTCCGATGGTTTGCAGAATGGAATGAACAGCTTCATGGGATTCTTTCTTTTCCCGGGTCCCAGTGAGTCCTGGTCCTTATGTATGGCACTGTGCTCAAGCCCTGCTGAACAGAGCGAATGAGCAGTGTTGGTTCTCTGAGTACCCCAGCAGCCTGCGTGCTTCAYAAATGTTCTAATACATTTTCCAACATCCCTGAGAGGCAGAGAAGTGTTTTCCCCTCTTTGAAGTGCATACGAATTTTAAGTGCTCGGTGTGAGACCCCAGGACCTCATGTTTCAGAGCATTCAGCAATGTGTAAAATGCTCTGTACGTTCAAATGTGTCTTTAGCCTCAGTTACTGCTGTGCATATTCAGCATTTCTGCCCATGAGGATTTATGGGGTATCAAGCCAGCCACCCAGAAAGGGAGGAAAGCGCGTTGCAAACTTTGCAGCTTTTGTAACGAGGGAGGCAAGGGCCCTGCAAGTCGCTGGCTTCCTCTGCCGCCTTCACTTCAACAGGAGGTTTTTTTGAACACTAGTAAGTCCTAAGTCCTCTGGGGATGGAGGTGAGTTTCGAAAAATATGTGATTAACAAGTTAAAGATTGTGTGATACTACATAGCCGTGGAAAAAGGAGTTTATATTGCATGGAGTTATAGTTCCAGCATTTATCTTTCAAGTGTCTGACTTTACAGCCCTAATAATAATCCTTTAATACCGGTATGATTTTGTGTTTGCATAATAATGTAGCTAAATTTGATTTAATTCCAAGGCATGCAGGGAAGTGAGAAGATTGATGCCCAGAWTTTTTTTGTGATGGAATTTTACTGAAGAATGAATGTTATGTAACATTTCAAATACATTGAGATCCTTCAAGATGAAGTGTATGATATAAATGTATAATATTTGCAAACTATAATTTAGCTACAGTTTTAAAAGCCYGGTCAGTTTTCCAGCCTCTTACCCAGGGTGAGGGGGAGAGATCCCCTTTGTCAATGGAGAGCTAAGGGCAGCCGATGCGAGTCTCATTAAGTAATTATATTTCAAATTCAAATTAATTTCAACTGTTGTCTTAGGCATTAGCAACCAAATTAGGAGACCAAAGGCAAGCGATAATGCAGCCTAACACTTTCAATAAATGAAGGTATTTGAAGTGATTTGCATGAATGTGATGATAAGCCCTCATTCAGTGGGTTTCCAAGCCCTCCCTGCCCCCTCCTCACCCTTGCCTGTTTGCAGGACGTGGCCATGTCCCTTTTCTCCCCAGCTCTTTCCTTTTCTCAAATCCTTCCTATACTGGCTTCATAATAAACGATCCGACCTTCTGGAATTTGTTAGYGCGAGCTGAAGCCTTTCAATGCTCTGGAATACGCAGCACTGCGAGGCATGGGGTGGATGTGAGCCAGAGCTGAGCAGGCCGCCAGCTGAATACATGGTGAATAAGAAGCAGATGAGGGTGTTGGGGCTGCTGGCCTGCAGGCAGGACCCCGAGGTGCAACCAGCGCATCAGCAAGTGAATGGGCTGCAGGAAGGGGCCTTGAGCAGCGCTGTGCATCTCTCGGGGCTCTTACTGAACCCCAGGGGTCTGGCTGCTCCATGAGGGGCAGTGGCACAAGTCACCTTGCAGGGACTCCAGCCATGGCCTGACCAGCGTAAAAACCCAGGCAGCTGGTGGCCTGTGAGACTCAAGAGGCCAGATCTGGCCCAGAGGGAGTACTGAAGAGTTATCTTCTTCTGCAGTTTCCAGGAAGGATGCCYTGCATCTGTACAATACAAGTGTCCAACAACACCTATTGGGGTTGAGGAGGTGGTTTAATTGCTGGAGCCAGCGGGCTGGAAGGTCTGCGGTGTCAACAAGGTGACAGTGCTGCTGGGGTGGCAAAGTGCTTTTCAAGGCCTGGGTTGTGAAACCGACTGATGCAGCCACATCTCCCTGTGGAAAACCCCTGGGGTGGCTGGGCAGGAGCAAAAGTGTAATGACTCCACTTGTGCTCTGCTCACACCACTTTCTGACCTTAACGAGGACTGCTTCGGGTCAGATATGGTCACAGGGGCACAGGTGCCTCAGCCCTACCAGAAGAGTCTTGCTGCAAATACTTGAGGTGTTAACTTTCCTCCTCCCTTCCCCAGCTATCGGCCTTGCCCCATGAGCCTCTCATGGACCACGGGAGGTGAGCGCTGCCACGGGAGGTGAAGCACTTGTTGTGCCGGATGGCAGTTTGCATCGGAGGGAAATCCCAGCAGGAAAGCAGGGCAAGCAGGTAACTGTGGCAGCAAGAGGCCCCGTGGCTCATCTCTTGCARCTGCCAGGCAAAAATTCTTCGTTTTTTTGCCTGAAGGATAAAAAAGGAAAGGATGAAACCCCTTCTAAGCAGGAAACAACACGAGAGGCTATGGCAGAGACCGTCTCTTCCCCTGTACCGGTGCTTGCTGCCTCAGCCACCAGGAGGGTATGGCATGGGGTAAACCTTTGAGGTGAGGTTAACAGTTAAAAGAGTGATAATAAAGCCAACGGGTAGGGATTTGATTGCAGCTTGAGGGAGCTGCAGAACCTTGGTGACTCATCTTAAACAGAATATATATACTACAGTTATAAATAGGCTCYTTTTTGTAGTTGCAACGACATATTTAGAAATCGCTGTTCTTTTTAAAAATAGCTTTGATGTTATACAGATATTGGGGGGTTGTGGGTTACATTGTTTATTGAGGAAATACACTTCTAGGCCGTTGCTTTCTGTCATAGCAGGTAAGCATGGTGCTGTCGCAAACACAGCACAGGCCCCTGCCCTGAGACTCCCAGAGAGACAAAAACAACAGCCATGTATGATACAGGAGAGGATGGAGTGGGTTGTGAGGGTCATTGGAAAAACAGCGGGAGAAATGAATGTTCAGGAGGGAGCCAGAAGAGAAGGGAAAGAAGCCTCCCGAGTGGATGGTTTAGGATGAAAAAAGGGACATTCTTGTTCAGCCTCAGTGGCTGAAATGCACTGGGTCCAGCTTGCAAATGCTGATGCAAAACGAGCTCTCTCCCCAGCTTGACGAACACCGTAACCCGATGGTTTCTGGCTGACAGCATGCAAGGAACCCTGTAAGTGACCCACGCAGAGCTCTTGCTCATCATTGTCCTTACAATGTCTTTCTGGTGACAGATTTGACCATAGCACAGCAACACCCTGTTAGATGCTCTGTGTTGGTCTAAGACAGAAAAGGTCAGAGAGACGTTGTACATCGTGATGCAGGAACTGCACTCCTCCTAGGAAGGAGACTCAGTGCCCAAGCACATGCCTGCTGCTCCTCCAGGCAGAAAGGAGGCTGCAGAGTGGAAGCCTTCCAAAGAGATTATATGAAACCTGCATTACACTGAAAGGCATAAAGAACCAGTTCACCTTGCCTCCTCTAAGAGACAGCCGAGTGGTGATCTTGAGTTTCTCAGCATTGCAGTGATCTTCACTGGATGTTAATGATATGCTAATGTTTATGAGAGTTACTTTTACACCAACTGTAGCTTCTTCCATGACTGAAAACAGCAAACCAGGTATTCTGCTTGTCGGTTCCTTATCTCCTCCTGCTTTAGCTTTGTGGATCTCAAAGAATATACCTCAATTTCACATTGGAGTGGGATCAGAGCTGGAATGTGAAGCAAAAGAGG